ATGGAAGGATGAGGGTGAGACGACAAAGTTGAACAGCTCTTTGGGAGGGGACTGGAATTGCTGTCAGTGAAAACAGTTGTTTGAGTCACAGATGTGCACTGAGAAGCAGCAATATGTCAGTTTGACCATCTTAACGTTCATCAAAAATATACACATATCACAACATGCTTGTCTGTGATTTATTTATTTCACAGAATTTAAAGCTGTTTTGAAATGTAACAGCTCGTAGTTTAACATTTCAAAGGAAGACCGTCCCTGCTGTTGCTCTTTGCAACATGGTTATTATCACTCCTTTTATCAATACAAATATTTAATTGTGTGCCCTGCTTGGGGCAGAATTAGCTCATAGTTAGGAAAGCGTGACACTGAGTAAGTCTATGTGCACATGAACTCAGCTCACCCTTAAAAACTCCATTTGAGGTTCACTTGAACAAAGCCGCAGCTGCTCAGTGGAGCTCCACACCTACAGTTGATCAGTAGTCAACTTTCTGTAGATAAACACAAGCTGACAGAAATCGACCCTCCGCTCTGTGTGTCTCCTCCAGGTAGGGGATCAGATCATTGAGATTAACGGGGACAGCACTCGGGACATGACTCACGCCCGCGCCATTGAACTCATCAAGGCGGGGGGCCGGCGGGTCAGGCTGCTGCTGAAGCGCGGCTCAGGGCAGGTGCCAGATTATGGTAGGTAACCCTGGAACAAATTAAGTGTCTAACCACTCTCCTTAGTCTCTGACCTGATCACTTTCTAACCTTTATACTAGAGATTCATTGTTTGAGGTTCAACATTACTTTTTTTTTAACAAGAATGCTACGTGTTTTAACATTTTAACATTTATATCTTTCTGCCTTTTACTCCTGGCTCTGCAGTCTTTTGCTCTGTATTTAAACTTGTCTTTATGTGAAAAACGACTTTGTCCTTATATTAGAATAACACCCTTCCCTTTAGCCCTCGTGTGTTGTAACCCCTCTGCTTTAAATCTAATGATTGGTATAGGCTCTTACTTGCCTTCCCTCAGGAATGGTACCTTCCAACCTCTCCATGTGCATGAAAGGTGAAACACTAAGCTCCCCCTATTTCTTCCTAATGGGACACTCTAAAGACACGGTTTGTGAAAAACTGCACGTCTCTCCATACTGATTAATCTGTGTTCAGTGTAGCTGTGCTCTTGGCATGCGTGTATGTATGGTCATGAGTTAATGCATGGGAAATGGCAGGCGTGTGAATCGATGTGTGTTCGTCTGCGGTGGCCTCTGCGTGTTGCAGTAAGAGAGCAATATGGTTTGAAGTGACCCTCCAGATGAAATTGTATCATCCTGAAGAGGGCTGTGAAGTAGACAGTGTGAAATCAATCTGCTCAGGATCAGTCTGTCACACAACTACAAACATGCTCATTGTTTTCAAGCACTGAATGAATCCTGCCCCACATGTCTGTTGTGGTAGATTACCATTTAGGTGTAGAGGCCTACATGGTCAGGTGTGTGCTCCTCACACACATTTGCATGCAATTTGCCTGATATTATATTAGAATTAGATGTTTGATGTTTGTATTATTGTGTACATCTTTGTTCTCTCTTCTTTGTTCCTCTTCTTATTCTCTCTGTGTGCATGTGCATGCAGCTTTGTGCCACTCTGCTTTTACCTCAGTCAACCTGAGAGTGTTTTCGTGTTCCCTGACAGACTGTGACGGCCCCTGGGATTCCTTTTCTACAGCCCACTCTGCCCTGCAGGAAGTGACCCTCGAACCCTACCCGAATCCATTGCTCTCATCCCATCCAGCCTCAGCCCCAGACTCCCCTCATCAGCTCCCTCTAGAGGCCACGGTGTGCATGGCAGACAAAGCTCCACACCTGACAGACCACAGCTCCATGAGAGGGGCTACAGGTGGCAGGTCCACCCAGCAGAAGTGCATCATCAGGGGGCAGGGAGCCCCTCAGGGGTCTGGAGAGATGGACTGTGACAGACAGCCTCGGGCTTTGCCTCCCAAAGCTGTCCTGGGGAGGTCTGTTGAAAGAAGAGAGCAGAGGCAGAGGGAGACTTGCTCCCCCTGCTGTGAGAGGAAGGGTCTGCACACACAGGCCATGAGCACTGTCTGGCCCTGGGACCCCTATGTGAGTGTGAATCTTAATGGAGCCTCTCTCGGTGGCAGAGAGGGACACGTCAGCCTCCAGGAGAGGATGGTGTCCAGAGGTCTGTTCCCCAGAGAAGACGAGCAGGCCAGTGGGCTCTGCTGCCCCTCCAAATCCATGGAGGATAATCCTGCGAGGAGCACCGCGGCCTCCCCTGGGCCCTGGAACGTCCCCGGCTCTGACAAACTTCCCGGCACCCTGAGGTCCTGGACCTCCACAGTGAGCAGGTAGAATGATCTGGCTGGTTCAGACCGGATCACACTGTCTGGCTCCTCTTTCAGTTCCCCATCAGATGTCCAGGGAACAGCAGTAAATCCCCCTCACCCTCTCTTTCTGTCCTGTTTTATTTCTTCATCCACTTCAAAAATCATATTTTATTTTTCATTTGTTCTTACAAATAAATAATTATTACACCCACCACCTTAAAAACAAAGGAACTTCACAGCTGTTGTAACATACAGTATAAAACCGATAAAGAAAACACAATACTGCATTTTGGACCCTCAGATGCGACAGTGTTCTGATCACAGATGGAGCAACAATTTCTGATTCTGAGTGGAGCTGTGCTTTCGACGCGTACCTTTAACTGCTCGACCGTATCTGGCTCAGATTGGTGAGTGCAACGTAACCTCAGAGGGAACAAGGTTCCTCGCAGGACAGAGACATATGAACATCCAAGAGATTTACTTTGCTCCATTTTCTCTCTGCAGTGCGAGAAGAGTGAGAGTACAAATCTGTCAGAGGGGGGCAGTGACACTGACACTCCTGGAAGACATGGCACAGACCCACTGGACAGCCTGGTTAACCCGACATATGTTAGATCTCACATGCCTACCAATATATCATATACTGTAAATGTAAAGATGTGAAAAATATGTACATTTGGTAATCACATAAACATACCTGTTGGTGTTTTTTGAGGCAGTGTTGTAGTTAGATACATTGTAAAGAAAAGAGAAAAAAACACCAGGACAGTATTTTAGGATCACTATTTCCATGGCCTCGTCTATTACTACATATCAAAGACTGTGCAAGTCACCAAACCCAGTGTGCATGGATATAAACCACCATGTCTTTATTCAAGGACTCACGTGTCTTTTAGAGGTGAAGTATAGAGAGGATACCCTCTGTGGAGCTGACCAGTTGCTACTCACGTGAGACTAAAAGAACATATTTTTTCTCTCATCAAATTTAACTTTTGCGTGACTGAAAACACTTTGCTTTGTAAGAACTCATAATAATGTTCTGCGTTCTGTACGCAACTTGATCACAAGTCAAACATGCAGTCATTGTGCCGAACTATGAGCTGTGTTGTATTCATTTAATGCTCAACGGTAGAATTTTGTCCAGTCTATATTTCCCATTTCTATGCCTTTTACTGTGCTAAGTGTACCACATCACTGTGGGGGAGGGGCATCGGTGTGGGAAGAGGAGGCCGATGGATATGAGGTGGGGCGGAGTGCCTTACTCAAACTAATGCAGAGCTGTTGCCGTGGTGATTTGTTTCGGGAACTGAATGCAAAACAGATGTTAATGACCATGCACACATATCAGCAAACTGTTGAGTTGTGGAGCCTGTTTTCCTCTGACTTAACACCCAGCAGTATATTTACAGTTAACTTGATGCACTCTTATCATATTGATGATTGCCCTGGTCCCCTGGTGTTAAAGGGGATACAATGTAGCCTGTAGCATTACATCCTCTTCTGGAGTCGTGGTTTCTGTTGTTTCATCCGTCTCATTCCAGCTTTATTTGTCCATTAAGTAAAGGAAACAAACTAAGACGTTTATCTGTGGAGCGGGTGTTCAATCAGAACATTTAGATCCTGGCAGAGCTGAGGCGTGCTGCTATTAAACGGAGACACCCAAGATGAAGTCACTCTCCTCCTGCATTTCTCCTGATATCATCCATTCCTCTCAACAAGATGTTTGCTCTCATTGCAAATTAATCACCAGAACTTTGGAGTAGTGGAGGGCCAGATGAGTTTAGAAAAAGAATCACGATGCATTGTGACAATTCGCCTGAATGCAGCACGATGGCACATCCAAGCTGTACTGGTAAACTGGTGTAGGCCTAACTGGTCACCTGCTTTTTACAAGACAATGCACCTGCAGACTGGGACACTAGAAAGACCTGAACAGTTGAATACAACTGTGTGTCATGTGATGAACATGTTACCAAGGAGCATGTCAACATGCCACTAGGCTGTAGAAATGTGTTTACTGTATGTACAAATGTCAAAGTTCAGAAAAGATGAAAGAATATTTTATCTAGCCCTCTGTCTCCGTCCAGGCCGTCCCCCTGCCTGCTGTGAGTGATTTTGTATACAAAAACAAAAAACTGCTTTATTGGAACTTGTGAAGGATGGCACGTTCATAAATCCCCATTGAGATCAAGTATAACTGTGTAGTGTTAATTGTGTATTATTCACCTTGTACAGCTGTATTCCTACAAATATGGTTTACTGTATCATTGATACTGTAGTTTCAAAGACGTGAACAACTATTTTTATGAAATGCGACAGTACTGATATATTACATTTTGCTAAAAAACTAAAAACTTGTTTACTGAAAGATATTCTGAAATACTGTCAAATAAACTCTTGACATGGTGTAAAATATTTATTTGTAGAGATTGTTTTACTTGTGACCATAATGGTGAGAACAGCAATCCACTAATCAGCAAAATCTTAAATGTGAGGTATGCTGCTTTTGAATGTTTCCTACAATTCTAAATCCAATATTTTTGGATGGACAAGACATTTGAAGACGGATTTCAGATATTTTACATACTGAACAATAATGATTGATAACAGAAGCCTTAGGTGAGACTAAACTAGAAACAATGTTAAAAAAATAATGGGTTGACATCAAGTTTTAAGTGTTTATTATATAACAAATCAGCCTCATATTTCCAACAATTATTTACCCACAGGAACACTTGAGGAACAATTTAAAACCCTTGTATTCTTTTTGCACATACCGATTTAGCAGCCATGCACACTCACACAGGTTTCCTTTCTTCATTGTAGCTGCTTACACCTCTCTTCATCAAATGTTGAACAGAGCTATGCTGGGAGTTTTCTAAGGTCACCAGACTACATCCAAGAATCAGACTTGTGTTGATTCTGGGGAAAATGCTTGTATCTATCAAGCTTACACTCAAAAACATTACCCTGAGAACAGATCAGTGAAGACAGCTGTGTGAGTGTAACCATGGCGCTCGAACACCAGGTACCATCTATTTAATGAAGTCAGGTCCACAATAATTATGTAAAGAATTAGTGTTGGAATCGCTGTGCAGCTTTGCAGTGAAAATTACAGATAATTAGGAGATATTGATACAAAGATCCCTCACAGGCAGATGAACACTCATGTCTGAAACTTGCACCGACCCAATAAAACTATAAAGAAATTATACAATGATCAACACATTTTTGAATAAAGCAGGGACGTATTCCATAATAAAACAACTTGTAAACATGTCCCCAGCATCTGGTCGCTGCTCAGTGGGTCAGGCAGAGATGGTGAGCAGAGGGCAGCCGAGTCATAGGGTCTCTTCTGACTGAACGCCATTTTCTGTAGGAATCAAGGTTTCACCATTTGGCTGCTCATCCAGAGGAGCATCCTGATGAAGGAGAACAGAAACATGCATAATGATCACAGTAAAATAAGGTTATTTTCATAAAAAGAGTAACATTTCAGTTGAGAAATAATGGTGTCTACAGGGTTAAAGGTCATGTAATAATAATAATTGGCTTACCTTAAGATTTCTGTATATTCCCATTTGTAAACGGCAGCAAACAACATCAATCAAGAATCCTATCACACCATGGAGCATCCCTGCAGAAGAGAAGAAGATCAGATTTACAGTTTCTAATGGGGGTTTAGCTGAAGTGAAAATAACTTTTCAAAGGTTTTTCAAAATGATGTTTAAGTGCTACCATCAATCAATCCATCATTTATAAAAGGATGATTTTTGTGTTTTTGGCGCCTGTTTAATTCAAGTCTTTCACGAGTGACTGTCCACCCTCACAAGCAGAATTATTCCTCAGCAATTTAAACTTGGAACTCTCCAGAAACTTCATCATCTTTGGGACAGTTAATGGCAATACATGAATCATCTCCTCCCATTATCTGTAATCATTTTGTGAAACCTCCTGACAGTCAGCTTTGAGAAGATGATTTACTGGATTAGAGTACAAGATTGGATAAAGTAACATTCTTAAATCCTGCTGTACCTGATAAACCAGAGGCACTTAGTGTACCATGTCTTTAAAGCAGCATACCAGCATTGATGCCTGCTGTGAGCCCATTCAATGAATCAATAAAAAGACATAAGATGTAAGATTCAATTAAATGTTGCATCTCAAAATAAAATTCAAACATCCTTTTTATTTTGTATGGCTTGAGAAGTCCTAGATCTAACTTGCATTGATCTGTAGGACCCCTGTTTCAGAAACACACTGGAGCTTAATCATGATTTAGCCCCTACTTTAAATACTAAATCAAATAATTAAATTAAATTAAATAAATACTTAATTGCTGCTGCTAATTTTATGATTGATCTCCTTGCCTCTAGGCAGCCATTTGGTGCTTTTAGTACAATTATTAGTCACAGATAACATTTATTAAGCCTTGTTTATTTTTTGGTCAAATTCATGTAACTATTGCAATTTAATGCGGTTGTGTCCAGGGACTGTTTGGAAAATATTTCAATCCATTTTAAATATAGGCAATATGGGGTTTAGTCATTTTAATAACAATTAAGGCCCTTAATATTAATGAATTCACTGCCTGTGTACAAGTTTGCATCCAGCATGCTACAATGTGTTCCAGTGAGAGAGTTTATTTACCTGTAGTAGAGAAAATGCCTCCAACGATGCCACAGAGTCTGACAAGAAACTGCCAGAGAGGCATGTGCTGCTCCGTGACTTTGACCATTAGTGAGCTGATATCGTATTTCATGAAGATCCCCGAGACTCCATGGCTGCCTGCAGCATGGTTTATCACTCGTTCCTGCACAGCATGGAGAAATACGTGTCCATCATACTTATACATACTGCACAAATAGATATACCTGTGTACAATGTGAACCTACCCGCTCAGTGACTGAGTACTGATGAGTGTCCGCAGAGATCTTGTATGTGTTCAGTTTGGTGGGCACAATGGTAAGGAAGTACTGAAACATGTGGTTGGCTGGAAAAAATAACCCAAATATTTGTTAGCTCAGTGTAAAAGCATTACATACGCTAATAATGGAATAATGTTTGGCAATACAAACACACATTCGGGAGAGATTTTCTCTGTGCCGTCCAGAGGGCTGATGATCCCAGGAATCACTTCTCCAAAGGACAGGTGGTCGATCCGGTGAGAGAAGTTATAAGCTGTGACAAAACACAAGAGTTTTCATCATCGTGAATACATACACAAGTGAATACAACTGCTTTATTTTAACAACAACTTTAATGCACAGTAAATATTATCTGCGTTTTCCCCCAGTGTGTCAACAGACATAAAGAAGACATGTGTGCATCAATATAGTGAACTTACAGTCATGGCTGACGAGTGCAGCTAGATGGGCGTGGCCTCTGGGATGGGGGATGGACCTGTGCAGAAACATAAAGGTCAGAGGTCAGCATCTGCTAAATGTTTTCAACTTTACGTTTTATAGCTATGTCGATACGTACTTTCCAACGGTAACATGGAAGTTCCCTGCCACCTTGTTAACATACAGGTGTCCATGGATCCTGCAGGCCGTAAAGGAGCTGGGACTGTCCTCACTACGGGGAAAAAGACCAAAAACAATGGGGAGGAAAATACAATTGTCATTATTTAGGGGAGGTGAAAACAATTCCTTGTTAATCTTTATAATTATATGTTAAATGTTATGCTGTACCTTCGAGGCACAGCGGGAGGAGCTCCTCTTAATGCACCCTTAAAGAGAACGTCCTGGAGAGCGTGCTCCACCCTCAGGCGCTCCTGTATGTGCAGTAGTGTCCTAACAGAGAGGTAAGGAAAATGTAAGAAAACAAAAACTCACTTGGTATAGGACAAAAACAATTCTAGGTATGAAACACAGTTTTGTATTTGAGGAGAAAGAGGTTTCAACATGTAAAATGTACAGGCTTGCTTGCTCTCTACACATCAGTTAAAATAAATGTACTGCTTTACATTCTGACAGTGCACCAATAGTCTGTACAAAATATGAAAACGACAAACTGTAAATGTTGTGCTACACTATGAGAGCTGAATTTTAAATGTAATGTTAATAGCATAGCTTAATTAAAACAAATTCCACCATATTGCTTTAGGGAGTGTCTAGAATTACATGTTGAAAATGTAATTGTAATGCAATTTTAAAAATGTGATCTTACATGTGCCATAATCTTTGCTCTGGAGGGAGCTCAAAGTGGGCCTGAAAATGAACAAAAGACAAATATCAGATGAGCAGAAACGAAATACTCCAGTTACACAAAGAAAATAGGATTTAATGCATTTGTTTTCAATTCTATTATGACAACATATTTAATAAAATTGTGCACACTAAAGACGCTCATACTCACTGGTTCATATTTTAAGCCATCAGAAGCAACCATGTTTTCTGCCAGATCCAGAACATCTGCACCGATATCTGCATTCAAATTAAAAACATCCATGAGATGCTTCCCAACTAAATATGAATGAGTATTTTTTCTAAAGCTGGAATACAAATTAAATACAGAAATGTTTTGAACTTACATTGGCAGCGCATGGCCACTGTAATGTCAACGTTTATCCTCAGTTTACTGTAAGGGAAGAGCATATGCAGTTAGTGAACATACTCAGCAAAGACCACTAGGTTGAATTACAAAAACAACGTACAGCTCTTCTTTCTCTCACCTGCTGTAGTCCTTGTCCACCTCATACTCATACTTCATCCATGTGTTTGTGTACACAAAGAACTCCAGGAAGGCGAGGACAGCCATGAGAGTGAACGCTATCAGAGACACTGGAGAGAGTATCAAAATGAGTCACTGCAAAATGAAGTCACTCCACAGAGTTGGAATGTCACCCAGTACACTTAATCAAGTACTGAACTGAAATACACATTTGAGGTACTTGACTTGAATATCCACATTGTATGCAGATGTTTACTCCACCTCATAGGTAAATACTGTAATTTCCCTACATGTGTGTGACAGCTTCAGATAACAGTGTTTTTCATATTCTTCCTGTAAAGTGAAAGCATGTATCTCTTACTATACTGATTGTGATAGGCTGTGATAAACTGTAGGATGCAGTGTTTAATTCCTTATTTTGACGGGAACATTTGACTGCAGAATAACATATTTTACATTTTAAACTCGTAATACATATAGCTGTTTTCATCATCAGCAGCAGCTTTATTTAAAGAGACTCTTGGTCCATTATAAAAAGACATACAACACTCAAATATAAATTAAAAAAGGCAGTTATACCAATGTTTCCACAGAGGTGACTGGTATCGTATAGTAAGGTTTTGAAATCAGGACCTTTACTAGAATAGAGTATGTTTACAGTGTGGCATTAGCTCTTTAAGGATCTGTAGTATGTGAAGGCTTCGTGGTGCTGTATGTGTCCGTGTTACCTGTCCCGCCGCTGGCTGTGGCCTCCACATAGCTCTCGGGGACTTTGGGGAAAGCGTCCAACTCCTTCACAAGGGTCAGAGCCTTCTTCTTGGTGAGCCTCCTCATGTCAGGAGCAGCAGTCGAGCAGCTTCGGGTGAGTTCCTCATAAAGTGGGTTAGTTTTCTTGCTGGTAGTTTGTTCAGTAGTAGTATTGTCAGTGTGTCTTCTGTGTGATGACGGTTAACATCACAGCTGTTAGCAACCTAGCTGGCAGTAGCACTGATGTGAGTAAAGCTAGAAAGCTAGCCGACTAGACATGGCTACGGGCGGCTGGTCGACGTAAAATAATAAAACAATATTGTACAATTAGCCCAGTCCAAAGGGCTTTTATTCACAGAGAAGCATAACAATATCCCAAAACGGGAAGTAATTTACCTGTAGTGTTGTGAGCTAGCTAGCTACAGTGCTGTTCTACATCCATGGTTCAACCCCATTGTCTGGAATAAAAACTGCCTCTTTCCGGACTCAGCGCCCTCTGGCGGTAGCTATCCATAACCGTTGGTTACAAACATACAGCATTGTAGAACCACTGTCGAAAAGTACACACCTTTCTTTTTATTAAATGTTAGTGCTTTTATATGAAGATTTCTATTAAATAATCCGCAGTCTTTTAATCGTTAACTATTTGATATTTCCATATCACATTCCTACTCCAAATCAGTGTAGAACTGTTTAACTATACTGGACAAGTAGGAAACAGTTCTATATAATTAAATGTTGGTGCTTTTATATGAAGATTTCTATGAAATAATCAGCAGTTTTTGAATTGTAAACTATTTGTTGTACACAATAGTTGTCAATTCAAATACTGCCGATTATTTTATACAAATATTCATATACAAATACAAAAAAACACTAACATTCTATAAAAGGAGGTGTCCTACTTGTCCAGTGTATCTAAACTGCTACATGGAGTCATTAAGTCATATGACATGGAAGCTAAAACAAAAATGTTTTTGGACTTTTCAATTAAAAGAGGTGTCTTCAACTTCCGTTCACAAGACTTCCGTTGTGGGAAAATTAATTTTTACTACTTTAAATATTTCAGGTGATAGTATGCTCATATAGTGCATATTTGTAAACAAGTGTTTGCCTCGCTCAGATTATCCTGCTCTGTGCTGTATACTGGAATATTACATGGCCCAATGGATGGATTATGAGATGCTGCCCCATGCATAAACACATAAATCAGATTAGAGTCTTATTATTTTAACATATTTAGAGGCCCATTATTGCAATGTGTCAATTCTAAACATAACTTTTTTTTTGTATTTAGAGCCCATATTTCCTAGAAAAGTTCAAATGAGTTATGCTACTAGCAACCAATTGCCACAGTGATCTTTAGTCTTTTGGGTTCTAGGGTAACAGAGCCATTTGAGTTGACCATATTTACTGCCTTGATGCTTACAATTTGAGAGGGCTTACACATTGCTGGTTGCTTACCTTCAAGTCTGTTTAAAATGTAATATCTTTCTCTTTGCATCTCAATTTTTATTTCAAACAAATCAAAGGACAACATTTGTCAAAGATATTGTTCATATACTTGAGCCAAAAACAGTTTTCAAGACACAACAAATCTCATAGAGGAATTTGTTGTTATTCTTTCGTTTTTGGAGAGTCAATACAATAATTATTATGACAGTTATTATTAGCAGCTTTAATATCTGATTATTAAACTCTGACTATATGCTTTTCAAAGAATCAGGAGCTATTTTTTAAATCCACAAAATTAAACTGAGATGTAAAAATATCCCAAAAACAAATGAAGCACATTTTAAAGACGGGACTTTCCCTTTTACACCAAAAGTGTATCTGTAATGTTGATCGAGGGATGATTGGACCCTCCACCCACACAGCCTGGTTTCCAGCTCTCCTCTCAAAGAGCCTCTGCCCTGCTCATGTGTTCTGGAGTAGTTTGCTGAATCACTGACATTAAACTTTTTCACTGCGATGCAAGGTGGACAGGTTTACATATAGCATCAGAAGAAATGCTGCTTAAAATGTTTATGAATGCAGTAACAAACATATTTCCCAGTTTTAAAGGGGCCTACATAATTAAAATGCTTCATTATGATGCTATTGTAATAGTGAAAACAGTAGTAGCTGTGATTCAGGTTGAGAACATTAATAACGTTAATGTATTTTAAGTAACATAAATCATGATGGACATCATGAGAGATTTCTAAAGTCAGGTGTGCATCTCTTCAAACAACAAATAACACTATATGCCTATTACCGTTTCATAAGTGAGGGCTTTCTTACTTTCAGTACTAAAGATATATACATCTATAGTGAGACACTATATCACTTCAAGTATTACCTTCTTTTCTTTAGTGCTATGCAGGCATAAAACAAATAATCATGCCGACAAATATCCAGCGTCCGCATACAGTTCATAGCCACATCTAACATCAAGGGTTGTGACGCTCCTCCAAACAGATAATGAGTGGAAAAGTCATCAGATATTGTTGAGGCCAACACAAACTCAAATGTACATCATGACCTCCTGCTAAAATTGTTGTAAGGTTGAAGCTCAAGAGGCTGAAATCCATTCCCATTCTGCTCACTCTATTCTGCAGGTACAGAGTCCGGACCCTCGTCCTGCAGGACAGCTGTCTCTAAGCCATCGGAGGTGGGTGTGTCAGGCGGCTCTTGAGAGAGATCTTCAGAGCATCGGCTCACAGTGGGTGAGATCACATCTGGACTTGTGTCACAGGACTCTGTGCTTTGCTCCGAAGTGGCTATTGTGATGGCTCTGGCAGCACTGGGGGGAACTGGATCAAACTCATCGTCATCGTCCTCCAGGATGGGTGATTCATGAATATCTGACAGACAAACAGACATATCTTAGACAGGATGTTTTAGGGAAGTTTACTGAGGTTATAAAATGACAAATGGAAATAAATTGCTAACTTACTGCTGAAAGCTTCTGGGTACTGCTTAGCAATCTTCCCTTTTAGTGTCCTATAGGAGCAAAGGAGGCCAATAAACAGAGGTGTGTGAAGTATGTGTGTGTGTGTGTGTGTGTGTGTGTGTGTGTGTGTGTGTGTGTGTGTGTGTGTGTGTGTGTGTGTGTGTGTGTGTGTGTGTGTGTGTGTGTGTGTGTGGTGTGTGTGTGTGTGTGGACATACCTGATCCTCCTAAAGACGCTGTCCAGATCCTTTTTCATTTCCACGAGGGTGCGAGTGTGGAGAAGGAAGCGCTCGTTCATCTGCTGCAGTCGCACGTTGGAGAGCCCGTTGAAGTTGATCAACATTTCATTGGTTTTCTCAAAGCGGTCAAGCCTGTTTACACAATTTTTTCAACATAGCAACAATTATCTTCAGATATAGGTTTTCCAAGAACAATGCAGATCTTATAATAACTGCCACATGCAAGGAAAATGACCTGCCACACAACACACCCATTTTATATTTGGTAATAATGCAAAGTAGCAGAAAAGCCACAAGAAGATAATCACACCATGACACTCACATGTGTCTCTGAGCCTGGATGATGGCGTTAACATCCTCAGAGTTGACCATGCTCAGCATCCTGTTGCAGAACACGCCAGATGCTGTGGGCTCCACCATTGTTACGACAAAGCTGCAAAAACAAACCTTTATTTAATAGAGCGAGTAGTATAATATGATTTAGAAGAGCTCATAAATATATATTAATCATAAAACGAATGGACACAGACAGTTACTCAGTGCCGATACAGCTAGTTAGATTCTTTATATAGACTATACAGTATTTGGTTAAATTCAGTAACTGTAGCACACTTGTCTTTTTCTACATTCAAACCCATGCGTTTAGTTTTGCTGTGATATTTTAATGCATCATTTTTAACGGTGATAAACTTAATTAACGTTCAGCAAAGTCCCCTGTTAGCATCAGAAACCATGGATTATCGTTAACGTTAGCTGCTGAGCTAAACTACCGAGCGAAGCAACACAAGCTATGTTAGCTACCTCTCTATCTCCGAGGATGTTTGCGTCGACCTCTGGTTAATTTATTAGCAGATTTGAAACGATTCCAGCAGCCCAAAGCTGCATCTGACAGCTGGCAGTAAAATAAAAACAAAGCACTTCCGTGTTTCTTTTTACTTTCCGGTCATAGGACCACCGTTTCCGGTACTTTAAAAAAAGTCCTTCCTTTTTCTTTTCTTTGTTTAAAACTCCGCAAATTACAAAAGTACATTAAAACAAATCGCATCTGGTTGGATCATTGTTAATAAATAACTTAATTAACAACATAATTGCCACATCATTAGTAGATTGTATGTTATCTGAAATAAAAGGTGTTTTTGTTAGATTTTATTTTGTAGCCATTAAGTCAACAACAAAAAAATAGTCTTTGGAATATGTTTACTTTAAGTATGTATGTTAAACATGGGAACATACCATGGAATTACATTTTATACCATTATATAATTCAAAAAACATTCAGAGGTACAATTTAAAAAAAAAGGCTGCTTCTCTCATCAGCCCAGAGAGAACATTAAAATAATACAGAAATATTTTTTTTTAGTGGCAGGGGGGGATAAAGAATAGGTCAGGTGCTTTTAATGTATTTCCACTGTGCTTCAAGACTGCAATAATGAACAAATAGCTTAATATTTACAGGAGTACATTTGTGTATTATTCATTTCTATATCAATCACTTCAACAATATTATTTATCTTGTGAAAAAAAACTTGGAAGCTTCCTGTGCCTTTTATGTAGTGTCTTGGTTATATTTGGTGTTTCCGATCATTTCTGCAAAATTTAAAAAGCTTAATAGGAAAGGAGAAATGTCTTGAAATGTCGTATGAAAATGAAGGGCTCCCAAGTTTTGCTTCTTCTGCGTCTTCTCAAATGCAAAAAAATATATAAAGTTGGATCTGAGACTAATACCTGATGTTATGTGGTATATAACACAAACACAGCATCTAATATTCAATAACTCCATACTTCCAGAAAACTCACAAAAGTACTTTTATTAAGGGACAAGTAAAAAAAGTACATGATTTATAAAAAATACAAAATTGCTTTGTCTAACTTGTAAGCTAAGTAAATGCATAGCAACAGTACATGCAAGTCTAAAGTTAGATATCCTACAATTCTGTAACATTGTTAAGCTACAGGCTAAAAGGGAAAAGTACATTTTGGTTGCAATCTATCATTCAGTCTACATGATACATATCCAAAGTGATGGTACAAAATAAGTTAGGTTGCACGCAACTCAACTGATGAGTAAATAAATACTTGACAACATTTCACAAATATTGACATCCGGTAATTCAACGCAATGTTAAATGAAGCCTGCGTGAGAATTACATTTGATTCGAAAGTACAAAATCATTCTACATTTAAGCTAAAGATGAAAATAATTCATAGTATTACACTTCTAAGCAGGGATGCAGTGATACAAATAAATATGAAATAAATAAATAATGAAACCCATATAACAGCCGCATGGCTTACCCAACCCCTT